TTCTCTCCTTTTTTTTTTTTACTGTCACAGATGAACCCCCAATAGGGTGTTTTCTGGCTTCAAATAAAAGTCACCCCTGCCTAGTGAGGTCTTGTCTTCCCTCCACTTCTGTTATGATCAGGGTCTGAGAGTTTCATCCATCTGCCAGCCCAGACAGGAAGGGCCTGCCAGTCGGAGCAGGGAGGTGTCACTGGGGCTAGCACCCGGCCTCCCCAGCTGGGCGTGCTCTCCTGGAGGTCTCGGTCTGGCTGGCTCTCCCTCAGCAACGGGTCTCCAGCTCAGTGTGGTCAGTTTTCCTGTTTTTGCAGACTTAGCCTTTCAGCGGGTAGAGTGGGAGTGGGGCGGCCTGTTGCCTGAGAGGCCCTTCTAATCTAACGGGTACAAGAGGCCATTCACTCAGGAGGACGTGATCACACACTCAGCACGTGCCAGGAAGCGTTCTGGGTCCTGGAGTACGGGAGGGAGCAAAGTTCAAAAATCCCCATCCCTTGGGGCTTACATCCTGGCCAGGCAGATTAAATGGCCCTGGCTAGTGTGCTCAGTGGATAGAGCATTGGCCTGCGGACTGAAGGGTCCCAGTTTCGATTCTGGTCAAGGGCACATGCCCGGGTTGTGGACTCGATCCCCAGTAGGGGGCAGCTGATCAGTGATTCTCATCATTAATGTTTCTATCTATCTCTCTCCCTTCCTCTGTGAAATCAATAAAAATATATTTTTTTAAAAAGTAAGATGAATAAACTTGAGAGTATGGTGATAGTTGTCAAAGAGGAAAAAGTAAGCAGGAGGAGAGGTGGGTGTTTGGGGTGGGAGCTAGGGAGGCCTCACCAAGGACGTGACATTTGAATAAAGGGCCTGAAATAACTAGGCAGGCGTATGGGGCAGCAGCTTGCCAGGGGCCTGGGGTGGGAGCGTGCCTGGCACTGAGGAACGAGGAGGAGGGAAGAGGCAAGGGGTGAGGTCTAGTTGGCAAGGGGTGGTCACAGCAGCTGCAGAGTTGGGCAACCTGCACGGTGAGGGCACGCTCCCCCAGGCTGCCCTCCCCTCAGACACCAGCTGCCGGCTCCTGACCTTCAGTGGCTCATTGCGGGAACGACGCACAGAACCCCCCAAGCACTGAGATTAGCTTTACAGCGAGAGGATGCGTGTTCGAACTGGCCCCAGGGCGGGGTGCACAGGGCGCAGGGCGGAATCTGAACATGAAGCTCCTCCCAGGGAGCCCCGGACCCCAGACCCGGCATATAGCACTGGCCAAGCAGGGGCGCCCCCCCAGCCTTTGGCCTCCGGAGTGTTCTTGGGGCTTAATCACATCCTGCTCCCTCCCACGGCTGACCTTTAACCCCCAGCCCCTCCCAGAGTCCAGGCTAAAACCTTTAGTCCTCCGGAGACAGCGTGTCCCAAGCCTCATCATAAATCACAGTGCCAGGCAGGTCTGAAGTCCCCAGTCAGGACATTCCGGGGCCTGGAGATCACCGCCCAGCAGCTGAGGGCAAAGGCCGACTTCCAGGCCGGAAGAGTTTTTTTTCTCTTTTTTTATGTGTTTTTATTGATTTGAGTGAGAGGAAGGGAGAGGGAGGAAGAGAAACATGGTTGAGAGAGAACATCAATCGGTTGCCTCCTGCATGCCTGCCCCTCCCGCCCCCCGACTTGGGATTGAATCTGCACCCCGGGCATGTGCCCTGACTGAGAATCGAACCTGCGACCTCATGGTTCAACGCTCAACCACTGAGCCACACCAGCTGGGCTAGTTCTTTTTAAAAATATATATATTTTTATTGATTTCAGAGAGAAGGGAGAGGGAGGGAGAGAAATATCAATGATGAGAGAATCATTGATCGGCTGCCTCCCTCACGCCCCGCACTGGGGACCGAGCCTGCAACCTGGGCATGTGCCCTGACCGGGAACGGAACCATATGACCTCCTGGGCTGCCCAGATGAGACCCTCACCACACAGTCTGAGGGGACAGGATGGCAGTGGGGGGTGCTGAGCCGTGGCGCAGGCTGGCGGGTTTTAGCTGGCGCCCTGGCTGTTCATTCTTCAGGGCTGATTGGGGTGGTGGTTGCTTCCGCTCAGAAGAAGACGTACCAGGGTGGTAGCAGGGGGGCTGGTCACAAGTGTTTGGGTCCCGCATTTGTTTTGCTGTTGGAGCCTCTGGGGCCGTCATGAGGATTCCTCCGTCGTGGTGGGCGGAGTCTGGCCCTCCTCGCCTTCTGGGCCGGGCCTCTGTCCGGTAGAGGAACAATCAAGTCCAGGCCCAGTCCTGTTTGCTCACCGGCTGCCCGCTCTGCATCTGTGCCTGAGGGCCGCCTGCGGGAAGGGGTGGGATGCCAGCATGTGCTCTGCGGGTCCAGCACAATTCCAGGGAATACACGCCCAGCCCGCCAGCCAGCTGGCCCGGCTCCCTCTGCCGTGGCCCTAGGACTTCCCTTCTCCTCCCCCTGCTGGCTTTTGTCTAATCCAGGCCTCTCTCCGGAGGCTCCCCACCTCTTCCCTCTCGGCTCCTTCCCCAGGGCCCCAGCTCCCCCCCACTCCCCGTTTTCTCCTCCGGGCCTCCTGGCCCCGCTGACCCACAGTTTGTGACGTGGGGTCGCTACGGGTGGAGCCTCCTCATGACCGCGTGCTTTGCAATTCACTGTGGACTTGGCTGCTGTTAATCCTCACCGAGGATATTCTCCCATTGATTCTTAGAGAGAGTGGAAGGGAGGGGGAGACACAGAGAGAGAAACTTCCATGTGAGAGGGACACATCGATTGGTTGCCTCCCGCAATCACCCCAACCAGGGCTGGGGATTGAGCCGGCAACCCAGGTACGTGGCCTGGACCAGAATTGGACCCGGGACCCTTCAGTTTCCGGGCTGATGCTCCATCCACTGAGCCAAACGAAAAAGAAGTGGTAAAATATACATCACAAAACTTAGCATTGTAACCATTTTGTAAAAAATATTTTATTAATTTTTTAAAGAGAGGAAGGGAGAGGGATAGAGAGTTAGAAACATCGATCAGCTGCTTCCTGCACACCCCTTACTGGGGATGTGCCCGCAACCAAGGTACATGTCCCTGACCGGAATCGAACCTGGGACCCTTCAGTCCGCAGGCTGATGCTCTATTCACTGAGCCAAACCGGTTAGGGCCATTCCAGCCATTTTTACTGTGCAGTTCAGTGACATTAAGTACATGACACTGTGCAACCACCCCGCCCCCCTCCAGCGCATCATGATGCCAAGCGGAGACCGTCCCCATTGGACACTAACTTCCCCACATGCGTTATTAAAACGGAAAATGAATAAACCGAGAATTGAATGACGACGGCCAGGTTTTCAGCACCGCCGGGCGGGGCCTGTGCGGGCCTGGCCTCTGTGCTGTGGGGGGCAGGTGAGAACGTCGGCTCGCACGCCCTGGAGTTTGAAAGGGCTGTTCCATGGCCCTCGCCAGTGTGGCCCAGTGGATAGAGGTGGGCTGTGGACTGAAGGGTCCCGGTTTGATTCCAGTCAAGGGCACATGCCTGGGTGGCGGGCTCGATGCCCAGTAGGGGGCGTGCAGGAGGCAGCCGAGCAATGATTCTCTCACGAGCAATGATTCTCTCTCATCATTGATGCTTCTATCTCTCTCTCCTTCTCCCTCTCTGAAATCAATAAAAAAAATATATTTTTTTTTAAAAGGAAAAGCTGTTGCATGAGCTGCCTGCCCCTCACTTCCCTTCTACGGAAGGAAGGAAGGAAGGAAGGAAGGAAGGAAGGAAGGAAGGAAGGAAGACGGCAGCGGTCACAGAGCTGTTTCATGAGCCCCCCAGCTACCCTGCGAAGGGGGAATTCTCACCCTGGGGTCGTGAGGGAGTGGCCAGGACGCCTGTCCCAGGGCAGCCTGAGCTGAGGGCAGGGCCCCCTGAATCGGGTGGGGGCAGCGGCAGGGGCTCCTACCGAAAGGCCCCCCTGCTGGCCTTCATTCACTCAGCATTTTTGAGTTACTGCTCTGATCCTGGTACCTACCGCCCTCAACTCTCTGCCTTCCGGTGAGCAAGCCCCTCCCCCCCCTGGTTCCCAGCCCCCAGGGGACCAGGCGCTTGGAATTCTAAGCACTGAAGGCCGCCTCCGAAGGCTTAAGGACGCTTCTCGATGAGATGGTCAGTGTAAGGAGACTCACTTTCCCCTCCAAGTCCTCGAGGACGAGGCTGGGGGCCCAGAGCAGGAAAGCCCCCCTCCCCCACCCGGACCCCAGCCCCCTGTCCAGCTCCCTGTGGCACTGGACTCCCTCTTCCCCGGGGCCCTGGCCAACACCTGCCTGTGGCCGGGAA